GCCATCGCTCTTAGGTTGGAGGCCATCGCTCTTAGGTTGGAGGCCATTGCTTCTTATGTCTCTCAGTCTCTTTGTGTCCCTTTCTTGCTTTGAGAGATGTGAAGCAATGCGGATGGGACTGAGATGCTGAAAGCGATGTGAGTGGGGGCCCCAATTGGAAATGCTCAGTTGTGAGGTGTGGTGCATGGGAGATATTTCATCTCGACGACCATCAGCAACGAGCAAGAATGGAAAGCTCCCCCGCAACTGTGCTGAGTCACACGACACAACAACCAAAGAACGCCGGCCCAACAGCCTAGCAATCTTGGGCACAAATGTTCCAATCGGAATTTAGCGTGCAGCACTCACCCAAGATCTCAATCATCTCATCAGCATTCAAGGCAACGCCTCACATCTTCCTAGAAGAAGTGCGCGTGTTTGTAGTGCAGCTCTGTTATCTTGCCTTTTAAGCAGCAACATCCCACATCTTTAGTAACAAGAAGCTATACTAGTAACAAAGGCCAATTAGGAACAAGAAGCGCACGTAACTCATCCACATTCATCTTCCTCACCTCCACTGGCTGACTCCTCACCCCGACTCCCGTCCCAGCGACTGGGCCCGGTGGGCGAGATCTCCACGCCGGGCGCCACCGTGTAATGCCCCTGCGGCTCCGTCTGGTCCGGAGGAAACGAGCGAGGCTCCGTCCCCTCTTGAGACCGCCCCGAAAAGGAGAACATCAGAAACGAACTCTTTGTTCATGGATGAACTGAAGATAAGGCAGCTGAAGGCTTCATGATGTCCTGTGAAGAAGCAACGTCTTCAGATTCACCAACCTCCTCAAAAACCGGTGAAAAAAACATGTGCTCTTCTTGTAAGCAAAAACCAAGAGAACAGCACAAGTTCACTCAGAGCGGTAGGGCCTCTGCATCGGGATGTACGTCGTCCGTCACGTTCTTCTTTTTGATCTGCGCCGGTGGACATTCTTTCCTCGGAGAGGCAGGGCTGCACCCAGGCGGTGGACTACAGCCTGTGACTACAGCAGGAGAACGTACAGGAATCCCACCATCTCTTTTTGAAGAGAAAACGGTTGGGTGTTCCGTGTTCATCTCGGAGGAAAGCATTTTGGGCATCTACCAATGTGCATTGCCTTCCTTGTGCTATCAACATCAACACGGGTCGCTCTACTCTCTTCAGTCCTCCACGAACGCACCGTTTCCGCACCGCACCGACGCACCGCAGCGACGTCCGTGCTGACCACCTCTCGGTGCTGTTCTGGCTGCGGCCCGCTGATGGCGTAGATCTCCGAGGGCCGAAAGGCATCGTCCCCCTTCTCGTTGAGCTGGGCTGCCGCCGTCAGGAGCCAGCAGCCCTGAACGGGTGAGTCGGGAAGAAGTCGAATCAGTGCAAGCGCCGGAAACTCTAGGAGATGAGCTCTAGCCCGCGCTTTCGGTTTTTAAGTCAAAACAGATATGACAAACGTAACCATGAGTTCGGATGAGCCATGTCGATCTTCGTCCTTCATGTCTTCAAGAGTCGTCCTCTGTCCGGACCCGGAGATCAGATCGCAGAAGAGCGAACGTCCGTAGGGAGGAACCAGGAACCGTCCGTGTTTTCACCCGCCAAACCGGAACGAGTAGTAACAAGTGCCACGCTACTAGGAACAGGTGCCTTACTAGTAACAAGAAGCTATTATTATTTCTATTTTAATTCTAATAGCTTTTTGTTACTACTAGTAAGGCACTTGTTACTACTAGCGTGGCACTTGTTACTAGTAGTAACAAGGTTCGCTAGTAGTAACAAGTGCCACGCTGGTACTCTCACAGCAACGAGCCGACCTTGCTGTCGGTGTAATAGGTAAAGTGAGCGCAGGAGGCCGTGAAAGCCTTAGACGTTGCGACAGACTACACTGCGCGAACCGGTCGCGGCTCAGTTGGAACGATTTCAGAGAAAACCGGGTCGCAAGTGGTGCGGGCCACAAAAAGTGATCGAAGCATATCGAAGCTATCGTGAAGCTCCAGAGACACAATCCGTTTGAACCTTTTGGTTTTTCTCATCCCTAGTCACCTAGTCCTCAGTGTAGCACGCAAGCAATACATAACAATAAAGCGTCAAGCTGCAAGAAAGGATGTCAAAGAGGAAGAAAGGATGTCAAAGAGGAAGAAAGGATGTCAAAGAGGCACTTTGTGGTCTTCTTGACCTCTTTTTTGCCGGTTTTCAAATCTGACACACACACACACACATTGTTTTCAGCTCCATTCGTGGACAGGCAACGCACGCTTTCTGACACGTGATCGCATCCTCAGAGCCGAACGACCGCTCCGCGGGACGCCAGGAGCCGAACGACCCGAACGAGGACGACGATGCGCCGCCGACGAGGAGGCCCAAATGGCTGGCTGGCTCCGTGCGAAGACTCGGGGAAGACCCAGAACCTTTCCAAATCGATCAGGGTAGTGAAGGGTAGTCCTCAGGCACCTTGAACCCAAATCAACCCGTCTGAAGAGAATGGTTGTTGGAGTCCCAAGAAAGGTGATTTCTGTAGTCTGTAGTTGGAAGGTCATCCAAGAGAATCCACCGCAACTTCTGTCAGTCAAGGAAAGGGGCTTATCAGGGACGGCGTGGAAAGGTGTTTTGGATTGTTCTGGGGTCTTCAACGGAAGAGTTCTTGGTTTCACGTGTATCTGTGGTACCATGAGTCCATGAGTTTGTGGTGGAAACAAAAAGACCGAGAAGTCCAAACAATAGCCAAGCAGGGCTTTCAAAACTACAAGAAAGAGCATGTCTTTTTGTCTCTTTTGTCTCTCCCCCTTTTCCTCCCTTTCCCTCACGACGAAGCGAAAACCCGAGGCTCCATCGGTTGTCCTCCGTTCAGCGTCTGCACCGTCGGGTCGCTGAAGCTGACGCCCTTCACCGCGCACGCTGGGATCCCCTTAGGCGAGCGACAGGCGTGGCACCGTCAGACCGTCACTACCGGATAGCTTGACTTGGTGAGTCTTCAGGCGAGTTCCCGAATCCCAGGTGTTTGCGCGAACTTTGTTCAGCTTCGGCCATTCGTCCCATACGTACCCGGAGCACTAGTGACACTAGTGGCTAGAAGCTATACCAACAAGGGCATCGCCACTAGTAGCAAGGGCATTACTACTAGTAGCAAGGACGCTACTAGGGGGCTCCTGGCCTTACTAGGAACAAGAAGCTGCTAGTTAGAAGGGCATCGCCACTAGTAGCAAGAAGCCACTACTTTCACGGTCGGCGACCGACATGGCGCGTCGCACCCTGAGCCACGGACAGCATCCGAAGCGTCCTCGGACGAATCCGTGCTTCGTGACTTCACGTGGACCTCGGACCTCCGTCCCTACCAGCCTTGGGGTGCCATCCAACGACTTCTTGTTAGCAATTAGCGTCATAGTTCGTAAGGCCAGGAGCCCCGAAAGGGTAGCGCCCGATCGCTCCGTTCGAGTCGCGATGCCAGGAGCAACTGCGCCTGAAGTCTTGTCCTCTGTAAAGTTTGTTTGGCCTTATCATTTCTGTGATCACCATGGATGCGACCCTTGGATGGCAAAATCATGGTTCATACTGTGGATGAGAGACATGAGGCATGAGACATGCGATTTTCTCCACAGACATACCCATGGAAGCATGCATGTACACTTGCATGGTAGACTTGCCAGCGATACATGTCGCATGGCTTGAGACTCGGCCGACCTCCGGTCGCGATGAGACGAACGAACGGAGACAAGCAGGTTCGGAGACGAGCGTCAGCGACCAGCAGAAACCAAGGCCACAAAATTCTCATGGCTTTCATGGCACACAGTCCTTGCGACGCGGAATGTACGGTCCACCCTGTGAACATCTTGCCTCAAAGTGTTAGTGGGTCAGATCACCTTGTCGGTGGACACATCCACGATTGAACCAAGCCATTGGAGAAGACTTGGAACGTCCTGAAAAAAGACCTGTGTAACTAACTTACCAACAGATCTAACTAACCTGAAACTCACCGACCTGTGTAACTTACCTCGAAAAGACATGAACTCTCGCAACAATGTTCGCTACTAGGAACAAGTGCATCGCTACTAGTAACAAGGGCCTTACTAGTAACCTAGAAGCGATTAGAATTCTCGCTTCTCGCAACCATCGTTCCTTGTTCTCCCATCGATGACCGCTCCGTCCTCCAGCCGTGCACCGCGTCCTCTTCGGTCCCGGGGCTTTCTCCCCGCAGCGTCCGCTGCGGTCGCTCGAACAGGACGGCTGCGGACGGTCGCGGACGGTGGGAAAAAAGCGCGATGGAGCACCCCTTCGCTTACACCAACAACAACGAACGAAAAACTCACAAGAAGAGCTCAGAGCCATTGGCTTGCCTGGCTGTGTGGTCTTCCCATGTTTCATTGCCTGTTTCCTTTCGCCTTGCTTGTCGTCACATGGCGAACCAAGATACCGTTGCGGCCGGGCGTTAGATCGAGTCAGCCTCCACTAGGTCGCTCCGCCGCATCACCTCATCCACTCAGCTTTCGTTCAAAGCACACATTTTGTGACGAGCTGCGCCAAGGCACTTGAGAAAGGATCGGCTTCCCAAGTGGTTTCAGAGCATCCGATTCTTCAATTGTTGTGTCCAAAGTTTCCTCTTCTGTCCGGGAGAAAAACCCATGTCACATTTCAGTCCTGGCAAAAGCGCATGTCACAGATCTGAAACATGTGTCTGCAGCCCTGCCAACACGCCCAACTTATTTTCGGGCACCCCATGCTGGGGCATTGCGAAACATCGTTCTTCACATGAGGCGTTCTTGTAACATATTCTGGGAATTCCTGTTGGCCATTCTGCCCGTTTAACTCACCTCTCCAGGTAAGTGGCTGAGAATGCGACAGCACCAGCAAGTCTTCCTTCTGCATTTTGGCCTCGGCCAAGTTTACTCAGAACGCCTTGATGGTCCTATAGAATCAGAGGTAGACGGTCGAAATCTTCATCTTTATTAAGTATAGTTTAAATGTTTTCACCCACGGAACCCCAGCTTGCAAAACAGCGGCATTGTTTGGCTGATCGAGAAATGCTCCAGCGGCTCCAGTTCTGCCACGAGAGTCGTGCCAAAGAACATCAGGCAGAATGTGTGATTCTATTTTATCTTTCCAAATCAAACTTCCAGTGTCCTAACCATTGAAAGCGGTATCTCGTTTAAGCCTGTTACGGACTGGGAAGGACATGATGAGGCGCTTTCGATCGCGCCCACCCCTCGCTGTCCCAAAACGCTGCTACGAAGCGTGAGACCGAAACAAGCAATCGGCCCACCGTCGCTTTTCAAACGAATCTTAGGGTCAACAAGAAGAGGGTACGAGTATCTCTACCTTGGTGGTCCCAGTGCACCCAACCTGACAGAAGAATATAGCTGAATTGCTTGTTTTGACTCAAAAGACCAAATGCTGTGACTCCTGCGGTCCTCGATAGATTCAAATGACTTTCCCCCTGGTCACCGACACCGAGTACCTGGAGTTGGTTGAGATCGGGACCCTTCCACCTGCCCGCACTCTCGCGGGTCGCGCGTCGCGCCGCGCTCGCTGCGGCGTGGCTCGCGATTTCCAGATCGCTGCGCCATTGGTCGGCCGCCTACATCCCGCATCGACCCGCAATGGACTGAGAAACCTGCTCCGTCGCAGGTGAGCGACGGCTGCGATGCCAAAGAACCAGAGCCCAGGGCTCTGAACTCCCGAGTTCAAGAGAAAGACTTTTTGGTGGCACATCTGTCAACATCCCGTTTGACTGGACGTTGTGCACATTGTGTAGGTTCCAAGTGATGTTCTGGGAATGTTTGGATACACCAAAGCTGCCAAACAAATGCCAAACAATACTAATTCTTGAATCCCAAGTCGGAATAGTCGCTGAGAAGAACGAAGAAGAAGAGGCCAGACTGAGCCCACTGCATCGTTTGATGAACCCTTGCCGTCCCGATTCCCAAAATGGTCACCTGAAAAGGGGGAAATGTGTGGTCAACGATCAAGGCTTTGTGAAGTTCAGATACGGTTTTCAAGTTTTCAAAGACTCTGGAGAGGTCAAGACTCTTTCCTTCCAAGAAGAAACTTCTTAATATCAAATGATTTCCGTTGGTTGGTCAGCTTCCATGTCAAGATTGCCAAGTGAAGATGAGCCACAGCGGCTCTCTCTTGCAACCAAAGTATTGCGATCTACTGCAGCGGTCTGCTCTTCGCAATCGCCGAGATCTTCATTCAGCCGGCAAGATGCAGCAGGTTCGGATTCCCAATTCAGTGGGGGGATGACCACCCATGCAAAATCCGATGACCACACCACCCAATCAGCACATCATGCACGTGCTTCCAAGACTAGCAGTGCTTGCCGCGGATCTGATCAAGGCGATGGAATACTCAAAACACTTCGTTTTGCATCCTGCCAACTCAAACACATGCATTGGTGAGGCTCCCTGGCAAATCACTGAAGGCCTGCGTTGCAGCGTTGTGACTTCAATCCGAAACAACTCTCAACCCGAGCTTGAGATGGAAGCCGAATCCAAGAAACATCCTAATGCTACTAAGATACCCTTATAGAAAAAGCATTAAACCATACTTTAAGAACAGACTTTAAGGAACCTAAACGCGATGGCCTCCAACCTAAATGCTACTAAGATTAATGAACTAGAACGAGATATGATCTCCTGGGAATCTATAGGACAAACACGATTTGCTCATGCAAAAAGAACATGATACAACATGAGACCCCTTCAACCGGAATGTTCCTTGGTGAACAAATTCACATTGACGTGGAACAGCATGAACTTCTCAGATTGGAACTCTTCTGGAGCAAGAAAAGCATCGAGAAAAGGGCTTTGCCACAATGAGTCTAAAGTAGTGTTTCAATGAACCCGCAAGGCCTTACCAACCTTCTTCAGTGCGATCTTTCCAAAGAGAAAACTCTGTACCGACTCCGCTGCCATGATGCATACACAAAAGCTTAAACATAAGGATGAACAGAAAATAATACACTTCCAACACACAAACACCATATGAGCAAAAATACACAAACACACCAACAACCACGTTTTTCGCCTCTACGCCTCTGACTTCGGCTGCCTGGTGCCAGGCGCCGACCGGCGCGTTTCTTGGGCATCAAGTGCAGTTGGCTGCCCGAGCTCAGGTTGTAATACGCCAAGGTCCTGGAGCCGAAGGAATGGCGCATGGTTGCTTTTCAGACTCAGACATACTAAACGCAATGAATATTGTAGTCAATGACACATGACAAAAGAATCAAAAGTGACCAGAAGTCAAGTCCAGCGGAATAGGTGGCAACAACAAACATACGCAGTGTTGAGGTTAAACGGACATGCCATGAGCAAGAGAAGCTAAGCCTATCCCTGACAACCTAAGACCGTGAGACCTGCGCTAATGCCCTAGCTTTTCCACAAACCGAACTGAATAAATTTGAATGAAGATACCTCAGAGGCAACCTGAAGGATTAAGCGAAACGAGATGGAGAAACAGGTCGGGGCTGGGTGATCGTATCCAAAACGGCGGTGACCCAAGTGGAGCGCACGCTAGGTGCTTCATGTGTCACGGCCACGTGCTCCGCACCTCTCGTCGCGCAAGTAGCCAACGTTCGCCTGCAGATGCAAAGGGCTGACGAGCCTGGAAAAGAAGGAGAATTCTCTCAAACAATGCGTTCCATCTTGGTTAACCCGGTGCTGGCTCATCCACAATAATTTGACAATCCGAACCCAGAACTCAAGAGACATCACCTGTCCCCCTTGAAATCATCTGCGAAACGAATCCCAAACGCGGACACCAAGAAAACAAACATGAAGAGTGCCGAATCCCTCCACCTCTTCCGATCCACTGAAGTGACATCCCTCCACCTCGCTCCGCTCCCGTCCAACCCCCCCGAGTGATCGCCTCTCGAAGCCTCATCTTGTGGATCGGCATCCCCACGCCTCGTGCGGCTCCAGCGGGTGACCCGATGCAGCACGTTCGGTGCGACAAGGCCAGTGGCAGCTCAAAGTGGGTTCATGACAAGACATGACAAGACTAGTGACTGGCCGGTAGACGTTTCATTCCATATTTTTCCTTTTCCTTTTTCCTTTTGCTTCCTTCCAACTGGCATAGTGACCGTGCGTCCGTCGGAAGGTCACGCGTGAGGGCCCGGACCCACGGCGATCAAACGCTCCTTCACCGCCCGGACGCTGTGCGTCAGCTGCAGCGCCAGGCGGAGCGTGGAGACCTCGGATGAACGAGAGGAGCCGAGAGGAGCCGAAGTACAAGAAGAAGACAGAACAGGAGGGAAAGGCCCTTTTCATCGGAAGAATGAAGAGAATTGAACAAGAGATCTGGAAAGCGAGAGTATCTGCGAAAGTGTGACGCCAAAGATGTCATGATCTGAATCCCAAGGGGTTTCTTCGTCAAATAATTGAAAGTTTGTTCCAGGCCACTCCGATCTCAGGATCTGCCTTCACGTTGAAGACCACCTGACACAACAGGTGATTCCACGCGAGCTGAAGTTGACATTTGTGGACAACGAGACATTTAGTTTTTCCACGTGTAATGATCACCTCGAACTCTCATCCAAGCCTCGCGTAGGAACCGCGGGATCCCAGCTCCGACCGATCGGCCTCTTGCGCATCGGTGAAGCGTTGGAGCCACTCCGCTTCGGGCACCTCCACGGAAGCATCCGTCCGTGGGGTCATGTAAACGAGAAAGATGGGATATATAGGTTTCTTAAGGTTTCTTACATATATGTCATGTAAAGCGAGAAAGTCGTGATCTGCTTAAGACTACTTCTACTGAGGTGCCTGAGATGACACTATAGATGCTTCAAATTGGCCACTCGAACTTCCAAGTTGCTTCTCAAGATGAGGAGATCACGAAAAGGGACATCAAACAACTTTGACCATTCGGGATGGTGCTTGAGGCAACCTGGGTGCACACCCAAAACGAAAAAACACATCCATATCATGGTAGCTTGGCATGTCCAGTGAATCTCATCCCCATCCCCAGTGACAACTTCGATTTCGTTCATCCCTGGTCGTTCATCTCGAAACGAATTCCTGGACGGGTCATTCTTCGCGTCGTCGTGACGTCGCACGACTCTCCACACGGAGCATGCGAAAAGCACCGACTCCCAGCACCCGAAAAAACAGGTCACCACCTGCGACCGAAAAGAAAAACCTCCGGAGACCTGTTGGAAGGTGCTGCAGATGTAGCGATAGGGATCTCAAAAGGACTTTTCAATCATAGGGTCCCTGTTCTGGCGATCTTTCCTGGACACGCTCTTCTTCAAGCTGCTCTCTCCTATTCAACTTTGGGTCAGTTCCAAAAACCGCCAGCTTGATAATGATCAAAGCATTCAGCTTCGTTTCTCACCACACGTCCAGTCTCGAGAACCGCCACCCAAGCTGAGTCGTCCGGCCAAATCGATCACCGCCTTCCGAGGTCGGGCCAGAGCCAACAAGTACTCCTGTCAGCAGGCGGTTCAGGCGCGCGCAGCAGGTCCCGACCGGTCCCGCGGTGGATTCGAAGATGATGGGACACTGAAAACGAATGGGTTTCGTCTGATCTCTTCCCCGAAGTTTCACGACGGGAAAACCCCAAAAGGACACACATGTAGGACTACTCTTTTTTCTTCGGTTCACCTCTCTCCGGTCCTTGTAGGGATCCACTGCTCCGAAGCCCCGCTCATCCAAAGCGCCTTTCCTGCAGCTCAAGCTGCTCAAGCGCGAGTGCTGGGAGAGCTGGACTGGACCGAGGTTTTCGGGGTTTGGTTTCACATGGTTTCACTGCTAAACCATGCTATGGCCCAGCTACCATCTTCGTCCAAATCCGTCCATTGGACACCTCCAAGCGCAGCACAGGACGGTCCTTTTCAGGAATCACTTCCACGAGATCTCACACATTTTCAGGGAAAAACATCCAAAGAACAGCTTGGAATTCGGAAAGGGAGAGAGATCATTTCTGGTTACATCAGTCCCACCTGTCGTGGGTTTCGGCTGCCCGCCCACGTGCACGACTCACCGGGATGCTCCTGGCTTTCTCGCATGCGGCCACCAAGAAGCCTGCTTTAGAGCGAGCATTCCTGAGGATCGGAATACAGCAGGATACAGCAGAAAGCTCTGAGACTTCCTGAAGAATTTTGGGGTCGAAAGTCCAGATTGAACTCTTCTGAACATCTAAATTGCTTCTGAACCGCAGCACATTCATTAGGCGGAAGCCGATCCTCTGGTTTCGACCAAGTCACGTGAGGTAGACCTTGTTGCTCTCACAGTAGTTCAGCACCTGGGCGTTGGAATTCGGTCAACGGCGTCTTCTTGGAACCGAGCGGAACCTTCAGAGTTTGAGGAACCTGATGAACGTGTCTCCCATGAGATATCCGAACCGCAGTTTGGTTCAACTGATGAGGTCTGAGGCATTCATGCTCCAAAGTTCACATTCTCTTGACAACCTATATCCTCTACGGATAAATGATTCTCCTCCGGACCTGTTCAATGAACAAACATCCTGAAGACCTGTGAACTTTGACGGCTGATTGCAGGCGATCTGAAAGCAACTATATGTTGGAGCGGACAACTTGTGGAACGGCCCCAAGAACCAACGGAACGCTTGTTACTGGTAGCTTCTTGCTACTAGTAGCATTGAACTAGCTTCTTGCTACTAGTAGCGATGGCCTCCACCCTAGTAGCTTCTTGTTATGTTCTCTCAGTGGACATGTTGCCTCTTTCCTCCTCGCCCGATTTGGATCTCGGACCATTCCGCAGGGTTCCGCTGGTCTGGGGCCCGGCACTCGTTCCTGCAGGTCGGGCTTCAAACCCACCAGTGCCGTCATCGCCTGGCGGTGGGTGCTTGTGGGTAAAGTTGAGCGACACCCAAGCTGAGTTGAGGCTTTTAATAGAGCTGGGTCTGAGGAATAAGAGCAAGATACCATTCGACCTCCCCTTGCACGTCCGCTCTAGCCAAAGTTGGGACCTTTTTTGATCTCCAAAGCAATGCGGTACAAGGGTTTTCTTTGAAACCACCTTGACCAGGTTTCCTTCGATAGAGTGGCTCGTCGCAGCAACACAGGCGCATTCTGACAGGCATCAGTGCTGGCACACACCACGCTGCATCAAATGCAGCAGAAAATGCCACTCGGCACTCGGCCAAAGCAACTGTTCATTGAAGGCTCGATTTCAGAGATAGATCTCCCGTTTTAGTTGGCTTTGCTTGGACAGGTCCTGTATATAAATTCCTCTTTGAACTCGTCACATCATTGCTTCAGCTGCGTTTGACGTCCAAATTGCCGCAGGTAGTCCTCGTCGGCAAAGAGCTCCTCGCGGAGCTCCAACGAAGCGCCACCGTCGCGGCCGAGGCTGTCGCCGTCGCAGCGGAGGAAGACCAAGGCTTCGGCCAAGGTCTTCACGCCGACCTCGTCCAAGGCCTGGTCCGTTTGGGACGAGTCAGTGTTTGTTGGGCTTTTGGATGGGAAAAGCACAGCATGCAGATAAGCACACTTGCATTCTGCTTGGCTGTCGCTGCTATTCACCAAGAAAGCAAACTAAGAATGATATCAAATCTATACCCTAGAAGTCCAGTTCGACGATATTTTGACTGGCTGAAGTGTTCAGGAAGTTCCCTTTTCATCAGGTCCCCTGCCCTCGTCAGACCATTCTTTTTTTTCGTCTGACCGACTCCCAGGGTAAGGCGTCCATCGGTCGTCACAGGCTCCTTGGGATAGAAATAGGATTCCACTTCGCTGGCCACGGGTAGAAACTCCTCGGCCTCTCGCTCGTTCCCCGCGGCCACCCGGAGGCGGAGGCTGAGAGCCGCCCTGTCCGTCAAGTACCTCGAGCAGGTGGCCAAATGGATGCTGGGCCAAAAGGCTTGAGAAGTGTCTTGAGGTTTCAACTGAAACAAAGACTGCTTCCCCCAAATTTCAATTTGTTCAAGTATACAATTCGTTAAAAAAAACTTCCGAATCTGCAACATCTTGTGCTTGGACTTTCCATGGGATCGTTCGCACCATCGCTTGTCTGAGTCCATCGTCCTTCCTGGAAACTGAAAGCGAGCAGAGCAACAGGTGCTAACCAAAAAACTCCTCCTCCGATGCATTGAGGAGAGATCTCTTGCGACATCCTTTTGGTATTTGGTATGATTAGAGTTCTCCACAAACAATTCCTTCTACAAAAACAAGATGAAAACAAATCGTTACCTCACTCTCCTGGCACTTTCTTACTCTTCGACCCGACAAAAACTGGCATACTCTGCAACTGCTGGCCTCTGCAAACGGCGAGGCATCTCTTCCGCGTTCGGGGCATAAGTGACCATGAGCAGCCATCCACCTTGAGTAAAAATGGGTTGGCCCTGCCCCAGTGGATGGCTATGGTGAATGGTGGACAACGACGACTGCGGGTGGGCAGCACGTCCTTGACTTCCAAAACCTTTTGATCGTCAAAGAGAGCAACCACTCTGTTGCCCGCAGAGCTTTTCCCATCCACTCTTTGCACCGAAACAAGAGACCCAGAGCTATGCAAGAAACAAGAAGAGGAAGAAGAAGAAGCAAAAGAAGAAGAATAATAATAGCAATAACAAGAATCACATGTTCCGAAGACAAATCACGCATTCCCTTCCACACCACTCTCCGCACCACAAACACCTTCCCCTTGACCCTTGGAGCCTGGGACCAGATGCTCCGGAGCCTTCGCCACGATCTTCCGCAGCACGTCTTCCCCGAAGGCGCCGCCGTTGCCGTAGAGCGCCACGGCTTGGGAGGCGATGTTGTCCGGGTTCGGCAAGAAGGGCGGATTTGCCAAGATGCCGTCCTCGGTCCGGAGAAGGGGTATACCTGAAGTATAGTGGTTTTAGGAGATACTTAAACTATAGTGGAAAAAACTGAGCATGAACGGAGTGTGCAACAAAAGACCAAGTCGAAAATACATGACCAACCAGCAAGGTGCTGTGAAAATGACCAATACCCACAAGGAAGACGGACGCTGATTTTACTGTGTGCTTCGCAGCAAGGGCGGGAACGATGTCCAAAGAAAACAACTTCAGAATCACATGGTCAGCATCAATGATTGACAACATTGGCGCAGCATGCTGACAACATCACCTGCTTGCGCATCAGTGGTCCAAGCAACCAACAAAAGCTACAAGAAAGAGCTTACGAGGTGATCTCTTCTTGACACCCACATTCAAGCAAAATATACGCCAAGAATCAAACTTGTCACCTTCCACTTGGGCGTAAGCATCTCCCAGACAACACCTGAACTGCCCCAAACAGCTGTTGTGTGTGGCAAAAAGCACTGGCAACCCCAGTATGAACAGTTTTTACACACTGCCCGTGAATCTTGCAAGCGACTTCTAGAGACACCGGGTCCTCATGATTCCCCTACCATGGCCCCTATCTACCAGTGGCGATGCCACGTGTAACTGTCACTCGCCTGTACTGCTTGGAGCTCAAAGCGTTCAAGGCCAGGTTGAAGCGCACGAAGCGCAGCGCCCGCGGATTGACGTCGCTGAAGGTCACCGAGGACGCGCCACGCTGCAGCGCAGCGATGCCCTGAACGCCGCTGCCGCAACCTGCCAGGAGACTGAAGGAAACATAGGTGGAAAGATGAATCAAGAAGCATTCCTTAGGAGTCAACATATATGAGATTGGGCCAACAAAGCAGATTGAACGAAAGCAACTCAATTTCAACTGAATTCAGTCTGAACGAGGCACCTTCACAGCACGACCTGACTGTGTGATTCGAACACCCCAAGACGGGACCGAGGAGCAAAGGTCCAAGAGGTTCTTTTCTTTGACCTCGGGCTTCGCGGCCAAGAGCGCCAAGGAATCATCCGACAAATACCTGGGCGGTCCCGGCTCGGGCTCCGACACGTCCCCCACTAATCCCGGGTCCGACACATCTGCACCCCACCCAGTGACATGGTGAATTGTTGAGTGAACAGGCTTTAAACAAATACCTGCACAATGAGTGATCTCTCTCTCTCTATAAACAACAATATTTTTGCATGTTCAGCTCCTTTCACCTCCAACATCCTCACCTCCCTGCCACAGCTGGCAGCTCCAAGCGCACCGAGTCGCATCACCGGCTCAAAGCCCACCGACGGGTCCGGCCAAGTCTGGGCATCGGTGGCCACTAGCAGATCATCTCTAGGCCAAAGGCGGAGGTTGCTGAAGCACCTCGTGGGACCCGTCCGATCGCCGGTGATCCGTCTTGGCCTCGTCTTGGTCTAATTGGTCTAGTTTTAGATATTTTCGTCCCTTGACGTGGGCTGAATCTTTCGAGTTGGGGGGGCCGGGGCCGAAAAGAAAAAACCATCCGACAAAGCGGTCTGGGCTTGCTGTCGCCCACCTGATGCCCGAAGCATCGCTACTGACTGCGGCAACCGCATCATCGATGCTCAGCAGGTGGTAGGGATCACGGATGCCTGAGAGTAGACTTGGGGGACATTGATGGGGAAAGTTGGCAAAAGGCATGAAGCTTTCGTTTGAAACGATAAAAGGACAAATAGATTTAGGTTTCCTCATCTATTTCCTCCTCATCACCGATCTCTGCCTACCATTGCAGTGAAGGATGAGTCAATGAGCACAATTTTTGTTGAGTGCTCAGCATTCTGAATGATAACCCAACGTGATTCTCAATGGCAACATAGAAGGATAACCGTGAGCCGTAAGCTCCCAGCCCAGATCTGAAAAATACGGTGCTTCAACCCCGAACCGAAGCTTCCTTCAGAAACCACTACGTCACATTGATGGGCTTCCTTCATACTCTTTGCAAACACTAAGAGAGAAAAGACCTTGCTTAGGCAAGGATGAATCAACACGTAACTCTAGCACACCACATAACTAGACTAGCACACACACACACAACTGGTGTTTTTTTGGCCCAAACTATGCCAAGATACACGAGACCACTTGCAACTCTAGCAGTAGCTTGCAGCATTCCTCACCGAGCAACTCACACAGCGTCTCCAAAGGCTCTTGCCTTCGCAGGAGGAAGACTTGGATAAAGTACACCTCGACGAAGGAGAAACTGAGCCCAAGGTGAAACGCCACAAGAGTTCCGAGAAACTCACCAACAAGAACCACAGAACCACAAATCCCACCAAACTGCTCAACGAGAACCACAACAAAGCAAAACAAAGCGCATCCAAACAAAAACAGATGAGCTCAAAAGAACAACAACCAAAAACACATCACCACCGATGAGTGCTCCTTCAGCTCCGGTCCAGCTCCCGATCCGAGGCACCAATCCTCGATCCTCTTCTTCCGCGCTCTGCTGCCGCTCCCAGCAGCGCTGTGCGAAGCCCGGCAGCTGGGCGTCGTCGCTGAAGTCGATCAAGGACGTGGCGCCGGTGCAGCGCAGCACGGTGGCGGGGTCGTACCTAGGAGGGCAGTAGAGGGACGATGGAAGATGAAAGAAATCCAACAAGAACAGTTGAAGATGGTTGTTGCAGATATGATGACACATGTTCTATCACGAAATATCCTTTGATAGCAACGAGGAGGAGACTTTGAAGAGGTGGCATGCAAATTTTGACCTGTCATGAACATCAAGACACAACAAACGTCAACAAACCCCAAACACCCAACGCTCCAATCCAAAACACCCAACTGGAACAAGCTTCGAAAAACGAATTCGGGGCTCCTGGCCATGTGCTACGAACGGAGCGATCGGACGCGTTGCAAGGCACTGGCACTCTCTCATCCTCCTGCCGAAGTCTTCCAGCAAACGGGCCTCCTCCGCTCCGATCTCTCCAGTCATCGAGGGTCTTCGCTTCAAGGACTCGCACCTAACAGCAAACATGGCAGAGGCCATGGCTCTTTTATTTTGGAGGCCA